ACCTCCCATGGCGGCGTTGGCGGGGATCCCGTGGAACATCCTCCCTCCCGGAAGAGCGGCGCCTCTCCCTCGGCCGGTCGGCTGGCCGGGTCTGCCCCGCTTCCCCTCCCTCCGCTCGGCGCTCGATTGGGCAGGCCGGGGCGGGAGCTGCGCGCGCACCTCGGCCCGCCCCCCCCCTCAACAGCTGCGCAAGGGCAGAGGGAGGCGTCGCGCGAGAGCTTCCGGGTTCCTCTCGGGGGGCGGGGCTGCGTGGAAGGAAGAGCCCCTCCCCTCACGCCGCGAATACGATTCGCCCGCCCAAGGCGGCGTCGACTTTCATTGGGGCACCCTTGAGACCCAGCGGGAGTTGGAGGCGGGGGGGGCGCTCGCAAGGCCGGGGGAGGGAGAAAAGCGAGAGGAGGCGCGGAAGCCGATGTAAAAGCAGAGCCGCGGTTTCACCTCCCGGAGGAGAAAAGCGGGGCCGGTGGGAACGGGATACGGGGGGTGGGTGGGAGAAGCGGCGGGTCTCGTGCCCGTCCGTGTATCTCCGGCACGCCCACTTCCGGTCCTGCTACCATAGACGCGGTTAGAGCGGTCAGCTTCCGGGTGCTTGTCGCGGTGCATGTCGGGAAAACGCGGGCTTTATTTGTGAGGCGAATTGAGAGGAGCGTTCCGTCAGAAACGGGTCGAGGCCTCGTTTCCCGCGCATTTTCGTTGCTTTCTCCGAGGCGGCTCCGTGAGGCGCCGGGCCGCTTTCGGGGCTGCCGGAGCGCGCCGGGAAGGGCCTCTCGGGCCCCTCGCAAGCCGGGAAGCGCGAAATTGCGACTGTTTTTTTCCTCTCTTCGGGCAGACGGGGGAGCCTCTTGACCGGCCCAGCCGGCTCCGCAGCCCCCCGCAAGGCCTCAGCCCGCGTGGAAGGAGCGTTTGGGGTGAAGGACGACAAAGCCTATCATCCCCGGTGGGCGGAATAAAGCCCTTTCGCTTATAAATGATATAGATCATAACTGAAAAGGAGAGAGGAGGGCCAGCTTTATGTCTTTGTCTGCCTAAGAAGTAAACTCCCTGCTCTTTGGCCACAGGTGGGCTTTGGCCTTGCTCCCTTTTATTGTTATTTAATAATATTTTATTATTTTTCTCTTTCTGCGCTCTTGATCTCAGCACAGGCAGTCCTCAACGGCCACAACTGAGACCAGAATTTCTATTGTTAAGCAAGGCAGTCATTAAGTGAGTCAGGCCTCGTTTCATCTGCCAGGGATGTTCTTGTAGCTGTTAAGTGAATCGTGCGGTCATTAAACAGATCCTGCTTCCCTCATTTGCTGGTCAGAAGCTGGCTGGGAAGGAAGGAAGGAAGGTCCTGAATGGCGATCGCCTGACCCTGGGATGCTGCAGCCCTCATAAATGCATCCAAGCAGCCAAATTTTAATGGTGTTGGTCACGAGGATGCTGCATGCGTTGTAAGGGTGAGGACCGGTTGCAAGTCCCTTTTTTCCCCAGTGCCATTGTAACCTCAAATGGCCACTAAACAAATGGCTGTAAGTTGGGGACTCACTGCCCGCTGCTTGTCTTGGGCTGCAGAGCTTGGCATTTGTTTGACTTGCAGGCTGGGATTGTCTGAAAGCTCTGGGTGGCAAGAAACCATTCCTACACACACACACACACACACACACACACATATACACACCTTGCCCTGCCCCATGGCAGCACTCTCCATGATTTCTAGATCAGGAATGATGGAAGTTGTAGTCCAATGCCTCTGGTGGGCTTGGCACTGGAACAAAGGGGACAAGAGAGGGTGCTGCTATATATAAATTGGGGAGGGGTGTCTTTGAATAGAATAGAATACTTTATTGGCCAAGGGTAATTGGACACACAAGGAATTTGTCTTGGTGTAAATACTCCCAGTATACATAAAGAAAAGGCACATTCGTTAAGAATCAAGAATCATAACGTAGGACACTTAATGATAGTCATAGGGTACAATAAGCAATCAAATCAGATAGAAAGGAAAGGAATAGAATAGAATTATTTATTGGCCATGTGTGATTGGACACACAAGGAATTTGTCTTGGTGCAAATGCTCTCAGTGTACATAAAAGAAAAGATACATTCGTCCAGAATCATCAGGTACAACACTTAATGATAGTCATAGGGTACAATAAGCAATCAAATCAGATAGATGGAAAGGAATAGAATAGAATAGAATTCTTTATTGGCCCAGTGTGATTGGACACACAAGGAATTTGTCTTGGTACAAATGCTCTCAGTGTACATGAAAGAAAAAAATATTTTCATCAAGAATCATAAGGTGGAACACTTAATGATAGTCATAGGGTACACTAAGCAATCAGGTATGTAGGCAGATAGAGAGGTAGGTAAGTAGGAAGACGAGAATAGAATCCTTTATTGGACACACAAGGAATTTGTCTTGGTGCAAATACTCTCAGTGGACATAAAAGATAACATTTGTCAAGAATCATAAGTTCACTCAGGTTGCCAGCAGGGCTGAAAATGAGGGTCAAACATTTGGATGCAAAGCAAGTATTGTGTCCAAGGACATTTTTCTTACACCTGGAAACTATATTATTAACTCCATTTTTTATGGCAGGCCAAGGCTATGGAGCAGAATAGCAAGCCCCATGGACGTGACTGGAGAAAGGGGACAATATATGACCCCCCCCCCCCCACCCCACCCCAGGTTTGGTATTTTAAAAAGGAGCATTAAGTGGCCTTGGACAGCTTTGCAGACTCAAAAGAAAGGGAACAGGGTCAGTGGGGAGGCGGTGTAGTTTGCCCATCCCTCTTGCACTTTCTCTCAAAAGGCAAATGCATCAGCTGACTTAAATTGACAATTATTTCCATTACCTAAATTATTGATTAAATGTCAGTCATCTTTTAATGACCCCATAATCTCCTGAGGGATGGAGTCTAATTATTAGTTAAATGTCAATAAAAGCCTTAAAATAGGAGAGAGAAAAACCATATTTTGTGATTCTTCCTTTATGCAAATTTTATTGCTTACAAGTGTATTTGCACAGTGTTCTTACATTTAACCGAACAGCTTGTTACAGAGAGTGCAGAAATCTACTGAAGCATCGGTGAAACAGACAATTCGGTTATTAACGAGTCTCTTCTGCGGTGGAGCAATTTTCACTTTTGCGTTTTAAAACGCCAACGGAAAGCCATACATTCTTTCAAATGGAACAGCCGAAATGTTAAGGAACGGGCCTACTTAAAACTACCAGCAGGACTTTTGAGGGACAAAAAATCATTCGAGCGACACCAACACGAGCGCGGGCGAATCAAGCACACGGGCCTTTCGCATCGGATGTTTCTGGAGCAGGAGGGATGGTTGCAGAACCGGCAACGTGGCTTCGTGGGCTTCCTGGGATCACCGTCTACACAGGAGGCTGGCGCTTTTCCAGGCCAGCGTAACGCGCCACACAAGGGGTGCTTTCAGACCCAGGAGACAAGCCTGTCCTCACAAGCCGACGGCTTCCCTTTTTTGCACGTTTCCCCCCCCGCTAAACGCTACGCAGCCACAAGAGTTGTGGAAATGTCGCAGTTCAACAACAAAAAGATGGAGGCAGCCCAGCAGATGAGGCATGAACGGCTAAGGTGTCTGTTGCATGCAGAGCATTGGGGGGGAAGCGGCTGGACGGACAGCAGGACCAGTCACAGGCGGCATGGGGTGAACACGGCAGCGCACTTGGCCTTCCCTTCGGGGCTGGCGCATAAGCAGCCACACTTTGGAAAAAGACAAGAGGGGCCTTCCCTTGGCCTTTTGCTCTTCGGGAAGACACCCCTCGGATGACATCAGACGCCCACACAGCTTACCTTCCAAAACCAAAAAGGGGGAGCTAAGGGTGCCAAGGGAGGGGGGGCCCCGGGCATCCTGTGAGGGGCGCTGCCTCCCGTCTGAGCAGGCTGGAGCAGCTGCAATCCCAGGGGGATGCTGCACCAGAGAGGTGGTTTCGTCCTCCTCTTAAGAGCTGTGATTGCGCTGTCAAACTGAAAAAGAGGCCTTGGTTACCGTGAGTACGTCCGGAGCTCGGCTCTTTTAACAGGCTGGCCAGATTTCTTTTAAAAAAAATAAAATAAAATTCCCAAGACTTCTCCCCAATTTGTATCCCCGGGGCCGAACCTCTATCAATCACACCCCACCCCCTTAGCAAACTGGCAACTATGGTACAGGTTAAATTGCCAAAGCTTGCCAGCTATTTATTGAGCTGTTGAAGTTATTGGTAGGACGGGCTAAACACTTAAAATCCACCCCGTTGTGTAATGTGTGTTAATAAAAAGGCATCAGAAATTGGGAATATCTTGAGCGGGACGCCTTGAGGAGAGAAACGGCGGTTGGCAGGTGGAAAAAAAGGGGGGAGCAGGTACATTACAATAAAAATACTAAGTTGCCTACGGGCGCCATCCATATTTTTTGTTTTTCAGTTAATAAAATATCACTATCACCACTATATTACAGAGAGAAATAGATCATAGAATAACCAACTCTTCTATTACAATTTCAGAAATGTGTTTTTAAAAACCCTCTCGTTTTAAAATGCCCTTATTAATAACCTTGTGCTATACTAAATATATACTATATATATTTATATCATCTATATACCACTGTGCAGTAAAAATAAACTTTCCCTCAAAGTATGGACTGTAGACTAGACTTTTTTTTTAAGACATGAAAAAATACTGCAGGCTTTAAAGCTCAAAATGAGGCTTTTTTTTATCAGAACAGTGCACGTGACAACTATTTGCAGAAGCGTAGAATTTTTGAGAAAGCAACTATGGTTCGGATTTAACTATTGTGGGCACATGCCAGTTCTTCAACGTGGCCTAGTATTTAGCATCATCCTTTAGTTAATGATAGCAAGGTTTCCACTTTGTATTGTTTTAAGGTGCTCAAGATTTACGTTACGAAAAAGTTTTGGATAGGAGCCAGCCCAGAACTTCTAGACAAAGTGGAACTATAAACCTAAGCACGCCCTTATTTCCAAACCATGAAACCAGCTGCCCCAAAATAAACCGTCTTCTGCTTTTCATTTTTCTTCGCAACCGCTTTGAGAATAGCGTGTACAAAATAAAAGATATTTCAGGTGCAATCCCAGCCTAGCTGCCCTTCGAGTTCATGGCCGTGTTTGAAAACTCGGTTAAATTGTGGCAAAGAGTGAAGAGAGTTAGGAACTCCTTCTGGGCTTTACACAGTGTGTGCTCTAGGACTACAATAATTCCCAGCAGAGCCCTCAATACACACAAAGATCCGGAAACTTCATCTCATAGACGGGAACAGATTGGTAATGGGGGCAGCCGGCGGTGATGGTCAAGGTCCCCGAAGGGCTGGGAGGGGGCCTGTAAAGAGAAAGACCTCGCGGTTATACAAGGCGGACATTCAGCTGGACGTTCTGTCTTTCGGGCTGGCTTGGGACCCTGACTTTTTTTTAATGAAGTCAGATCCGGAACGGCTTCAACTGAGGGAATGTATTTCTTCCTAAATTGTCATTTCTATTATTTTCTGACGGCTACTGGAGACAGTTTGCGAACAAATAATATTTGAACGGTGAACAGTACATGGTGGGAAAGCAATCAAAGCCAACGGAGACTTAAGACAAACGCTGGTTAATCGAGCGACTATCACTGAGAATCAACATCGCAACAAAATATTACAGGTAGTCCTTGCTTAGCGACAGCGGTTGGGACTGGCGACTCCATTACTAAGTGAAACAGTTGTAAAGGGAAACCTCCTGTGACCTTGTTTGACTGATGAAACTGCAGTTGTTATTAAATGAATCGCCAATTGGTCGTGAAACACCATGTCAATGGAGCATGATTTATGACTTCCCGCAGGCTTCCCCAATGACCGCTTGTCAGAAAATTGCTAATGTAACCGCAACATTCTGCAAACCGTCATAAACTCACGCCAGTTGCGAGGCGCCCAAATTGCGATTGTGCGACTGGGGCTGTTGCAACCGTTGTTAAATGTAAAAAGCAGTCCTAAGTCAACTTTTTTTTTTCAGGTAAGTCCTCAACTTACAACAGTCACTAAAGGAACTGTTGTAAGTTGAGGACTTACCTGAACTGTCCTTTGGTCACCCCTGAATTTCCAACACCCTTTGACTTCGTGACTGCTGCCAAGTGCCCGTCCTCCCAATTTTCCCTGCCAAAATCCAACTAGGCCTTCGGCATTTCCCCTTACCGGATGGTGAGCTCCAGGATCTGAGCCAGTCGGTCATGGAGGAGGTTCGCCTGGAGAGAAAACGGACCCTGTGAGATCGGGTGAGGATCGAGGCGAGATTCCTTTCGGTGGGACAACCCGCCTCCTAGAGTTGTGGGTGCTCCGCCACTGGAGTTCTTCAAGAATAGACTGGACACTTGTTTATTGGGGATGGTATAAGGACTTGTGCTCTGGGCAGGGGGTTGGACTAGAAGACCTCCAATGTCCCCCTTCCAGCCCTAGGATTCTGTTGTTGTTCTTAGAATCATAATGATGTAGGTCTAACGAAGAGAAGGACCAGGGGAGGCATGATAGCAGTGTTTGAGCATTTGAGGAGGTTACCCCAAAGAAGAGGGGGTTCAAATATTCTTCAAAGCACCTGAAGGCAATAAGAAACGATGGATGGAAACTCCTCCAGGAGAGAAGCAACCTGGAACTAAGGAGGAACTTTCAGACAGGGAGGACAATTAACCAGTGGAACAGCTGGACTCCAGAAATGGTAGGCGCTTCTTCACTGGAGGCTTTTAAGAGGAGATTGGACAACCGGAATGGTTGAGGGTCTCCTTGTGGTTTGCCGGCAGCCGGTGCAGACCGCAACAGAATCGGACAGTCGGGAAGAGAGGGGACCAGTCAGGGAGTCTGGAAAGGACTTGGACAAGGGTCCTGCGTCTGAGGCGGGATGGCGCCATGACCATCTGGGAGTCGGGTGCTGACTCTGGAGCCTCCGGAGTCTGGCAGCAGTGAGGCAGAGGACCCAGGGGAGCCTGTTCCCAGTGTGTGTATGCACAGAGCTGCTAGAAGGCGAGAGCAGCTGAGACGAAAGGAGCCACTGGGGAGTAGGGCTGGGAGGTGATGGCCCCTCCCATAAGAGATAAAAGTCAGACCTAGAGGACGAGACCTTTGCAGGAAGCAAAGTAGCTTGACTGCTTCCAAGTCCTCTTTGAAGCTCTGTGTACTTTGGTTGGTTTTTTTCTCGTACTTCGGTTGGTTTCTTGTTCATTGGATGCTTCTGTTATTGGCAGCACTTCACAGAACTGAAAGGTGGGTGCTTATCTCGGGGGACTGTTTAGCTCTGGCAGGAAAGCAATTCCCATCATTGCAATTAAATAGGTTTTGCTTTTAAAACAAGTTTGTGATTAATTACGATTTACGAAGCCCATGATTTATGAAGCTTAAGTGGAGGGTTGGGCTAGAAGACCTCCAAGGTCCCTTCCAACGCTGTTATTCTGTATCCTATCCTGTATTCTTTTCTTGAGGCATCCGATATCCCAGATTATCCCCCACTGAAGGCCGCTGAGGATGCTGGGAAAATCCCCTCTGGGAGCAAAATGGTCTGGCACCGCGGCCTTCTCCTCTCTTCCTACTCCTTCCAAGGAGAGAAGGCAAAGTTTTGCTCACCAGCTACAACCCTTTTCCTACCACATCAGGCAGAAATCTTTTAGCAGGGAGTTTCTTACTCCGCCTACTTCAATCTGACAACCTACTCGATGCCAGTTCCTATCTACAAGAGCGACAGCGCCTTCCTCACACTTTGCACACTCCTTTGCCCTAATCTCACACACTTCACTGTACAGAATAAAACACGACAACGCAAAGTCTCCTTTGCACCAGGTGGTTCCTCCCAGCCCTCGTAGGAGGAGGTGGTACCATGAGCCCTGCAAGCAGAGAAGGGAGGCCCTCGGTCACCCCAGCTTATCTCGTGCTGTGGGCTCCTCCCCGCTCTCCGAAGTAGACCCTCCAGCTGCCTCGCAAGGCTATCTGGGCGTCACCAAACGGGCGTGTGTGTGTGTGTGTGTTCTCGGTTGCAGAAGACGTTGCTTGCTCCGCTCACCTTGGTCTCGCACTGTGCCGCAATCTCTTCGAAGGGAGCTTTCTGAAACTTCTCAATGACCAGGCGTCTCTTTTCCTTCTCCTGCTCTTCAAGGCCGGTGTTATCTTGGGAAGCGGGTGATTTAAAAATAAAGATATGGAGAAAGGGACGGAGGAAGAGAAGAGAAGAGTAAAAGGAAGGCCCCGTTCCCACCCCACGCCGTGAGGCGGCTTCCCGAAACGCCCTGGTTGAAGCAGCCAGCCTGGGACCCCACCTCAGCCTGGCTGGCTATGCCAGAGAGACCACACGGGTCTCCTTGAGAGTAAAAGCACCGGTGGCCTCTTGCCCCCCCCACCCAAGAATTCGGGGACATTTAGCATTGCGTCATATCTGAATAAATGGGCATTTCTGAGTTCCTCCCTTTAGGCACCAGGCTGCATTTTGCTACGCCATACGAAATAAATGAGGGGAAAAAAAACTTAATTAGGGAACAATACTTCAAAAGAAAAGCTTGTTCCAGTTGGAGAAATATTAATTCAGACTCTTTAGTAGATGGACCTGATCCAATTTGGAGTCTAATTTGTCTCATCATCAATATTAACTACGCAGTGCGGTCGTATTTTCACAACCCAAAGGTGTTTTTTTTGCAAAAGACAATTCGAGTCTCTTGGTTATTTTCCTGGAAAACGTTTCGCTTGTCATCTGAGAAGATTCTTCAACTCAACTTTCCTGGGTTTTTTTGCTCCCTTGAAAATATTTCGCTTCTCACCCGAGAAGCTTCTTCAGTTCTTCAGAATATACAACTATGTGACTTCAGAACTGAAGAAGCTTCTCGGGTGAGAAGCGAAACCTTTTCAGGGAAAATCACCAAGAAAATCTTGTTGTCTTGTGGAAAAAGCATCTTTGGACAGCCATGACCTGGATGACTGACAATCTCCAGAGATATTCCTGATTGTTTAACTGAGGAGATCCAATCCATAGTAGCAAGGATTAATGACTACATTATTCAGGGAGAAAATTGCTGCTGGTTAAAAGTACGATATAACAAGGAATGGTGGGGGTAGGATAGATATTTTACTATATGATGTGATGCATTTTACCTATTGCCTTCTTCAGTGCTTCAAAGGTAATTTCCTCCGTGCTGTTGACCTGAAGGGGAGAGGGGGTAAATATTTTGCTTAAATACACCAACAGTTGAACAAAAAGGAAAATAAAATAATTTATTGTGTTTTAGAGAGCGAACTGTAAGGAGGAAACTACGAATTAAGCCACCTGGAAGCCATTAGATGCCTGAAGAGGGTAAGCCTGCAAGGAGACTCAATAATATTTTTGAGCTCTGTCAGAAAATGTGGGGAAACAACCCCCAAAACTTGGGGAATGCCTGGAATCTGTTCTTTCTGTCAGAGGGGAGGATACAAAGGGTTGACCAAAAGAATATTCAAGCAATCACCAGGAGACAGTGAGTTCTAATCCCACCTGAGGCATGAAAGTTGGCGGGATGCAAAGGGATGGAAGGATAGGCGCAACTGATAGGGTTAAGGTGAGATCACTTAGGACAGGGCCCTCCAAACTTGGCAACTTGAAGACTTGTGGACTTCAACTCCCAGAATTCTGGGCATTGCCTTCCCCCGTTGAATTCTGGGAGTTGAAGTCCATAAGGCACCAAGCTTGGAGAGTCCTAGCCTTAAAGGAACAAGATGAAAAGCTTTTGCAAAGCTGCACAATGTCCATGATCAAAGGGACGTACCTTATCTTCTGCACCGTTTCCAGGAAGGAGGTCCACCTGAATGGACACGGTGTCCACGATACTCTTCCTTCGTGACAGCCGGTCCTCATCTGTAGGCATAACATCAGAAATGCTCATATTTCTTATTGTGGGTGATATAAATTACAGTATACAGTATGATAATTTAGGCATGGAGGGAGGGAGGGAGGGAGATGAATGATGGATGGATAGAGATAAATGAACAATAGATGATAGACGGGTGGATGAATGTAAATAGATGAATAATAGATATAGACCAAGGTCTTCAAACTTGGCAAGTTTAAGACTTGTGGACTTCAACTCCCAGAATTCCTGAGCTAACATGACTGGAGGAGGAATTCTGGGAGTGGAAGTCCACACATCTTAAAGCTGTCAAGTTTGAGGACCCTTGATATAGATGAGATAGATAGATAGATAGATAGATAGATAGATAGATAGATAGATAGATAGATATAGAGATAGTTATAGATAGATAGATAGATAGATAGATAGATAGATAGATAGATAGATAAGATAAGATAAGATAAGATATAGACAGATAATGGGTGGATGGATGATAGGTGAAAGACAGACAGACAGACAGACAGAAAGAAAGAAAGAAAGAAAGAAAGAAAGAAAGAAAGAAAGAAAAAGAAAGAAAAGATATAGATAGATGATGGATGGATGGATGGAGATAGATGAATGATGGATGGATGGAGACAGATGAATAATAGATAGAGGTAGATGAATGATGGGCGGATGGATGATAGGTGAAAGATAGGTAGGTAGGTAGGTTTCAGTAATTAGGAGTATGAAGAAAACCTGTAGAGAGCTCAGTTAAGTGCTTGACTTATGACTGTTCACTTAGTGATCATTCCAACTTCTGCCAGACCTATCTGGGAGGTACGTATCACCTGGATTTGAAGTTGTAATGGTCACCACTTCCCCCAGTCACATGACTGCACTCCGTACGCCTGGCAACCAGGCACATTTATGTCCATTTACAGTGTCCCACAGTCACTAATAGTTGACAAAAGTCTGCATAGTGTTTATGTCCATTTGGGGGCACCACCATGCCCCTGGCAAACCCTTGGAGCAGGAGAAGGAGCATGACGACTTCGGAGTCCTTGCTGCTCTCTGAGCTTGGAGGATTTCTTGCAGACGTTTCATTACCAAGCTAGATAACCTCATCAGCTAAAAGGGAGTGGGATTTGCGAGGAGGAGGAGGCGGAGGAGGAGGAGAATAATGACAACGACAACGACTGTGGGGTCCTTGGTGCTCTCTGAGTTTGGTGGGTTTCTTGCAGACGTTTCATTACCCAACTAGGAAACGTCATCAGTGATGAAAGGAGTGAGGATGATCATTCCTACAAAATTTTGTAGCCTTTGCTGTCTGGGAAATTCTGGGAGTTGAAGTCCGCCAGTCTTAAAGTGGCCAAGGTTGGAGACCCCTGATTTAAGATGAATGGACTTCAACTCAGCATGCTAGCAGGGGAATTCTGGGACTTGAAGTCCTCCGGGGCTTAAAGTGGCCAAGGCTGGAGAGCCCTGGTCTGGTGGGAAAACAGAACAGCTTGCTTCCTCTCCCAATGGCTACCTGGGGGAAACAACAGGTGTGCAAGAGAGAAGCAAGGACTCTCCGGCTGCCCTCTGGAACAGCCCCCAAGGTATCTCCAAGAGGGCGGCAAGGATGGCCGACCGTCGGCCTTCAAGATCCAGGAGACCCAGGCGCGCTGGGAGTTGTAGTTCAGCAACCTCTCCGCTCAGCCACAAACGGCCCACGGCAAACGGAAGCGCTTTCATCCGACCTACTCGACAATCCAGGGCCCCAAACCGAGTCACCCCGGCCTCCGCTGGAAGGCCCTTCCCGCCCCAAGAGCCTCACCTGTCACCTGGGGCACGTAAGGCACCGACAGCCTTTCCGCGCTGTAGCCGCTGCCGCCTAAGGATTCCACAATCTTGTGAGTCAGGAAGAACAAGCTCTTGTCGTCCTTATCAAAGTTCAGGGGAATGCTGTAAAAAAATAAAAATAGATTGATCGACGTGAGTAAATGGATATTAGCAATTAGAGAGCAAGAAGACAAGGAGTATTAAAAAAATTGGGGATTTATTTTATCAATGGCTAGATAAGAAAATAGGGAAATAAAATATAATACAATATAAATATTATAACGTAGTAAAGATAAGACAATGTAATATGTTATAATTGATTACAGTGAAATGAATATTATGAACTGGGATATGTAAAATTTGAGATAGGCTCAAAAAGGATGATGCAATATACAATTAAAGTCTAATAAGGAGTTAACAATATAATATGAATTTTAATAATGCATCTAGAAGGGAAAGACTGTCGATATTGTGCACAAAAGGTATATACCGACCCACTGTATAACGGAAAGATGGTTTTATGTTTTGCGTGTATGTTTGTATTTGTTTATGTTTGTTGTTAAAAAATTTAAAAAAATGGAGGAAAAAAATACATTGATTGAAAGGAAAGGGGAAACCAATGAGATTGTGAGTGGATCTCTTAACAAAACAGAGCTGGAAGGGACCTCAGAGGTCTTCCAGTCCAGCCCCCTGCTCAAGCAGGAGACCCTAGCTAGACTATTTCAGACGAATGATTATCCAGTCTCTTCCTAAATACCTCCAGTGCTGGGTTACCCACAACTTCTAGAGGGGCTGCCCTAGAGAGGAGGAAGGGGTCAAGCTATTCTCCAAAGCAGGGGTCTCTTTGCTGTAGCTTTGCTGGCTGAGGAACTCTGGGAGTTGAAGTCCACAAGTCTTCAAGTTGCCAAGGTTGGAGACCCCTGCTCCAAAGCACCCGAAGGCCAGAAAAGGAACAATGGATGGAAACTGACCGAGGAGAGATTCAACCTGGAAATAAGGAGGAATTTTCTGACAGGGAGAACAATCCACCCATGGAACAGAAGTTGCCCTCAGAAGTTGTGGGAGCTTCATCCCTGGAGGCTTTCAAGAAGAGATTGGACTGCCATCTGTCAGGAATGGAGTAGGGTCTCCCGTTTGGGCAGGGGGTTAGACTAGATGACCTACAAGGTCCCTTCCAACTCTGCTAATCTATAAGGCCAATCAAATCTAACATCAGATTTGTTAAAAATGCTACAGGTTCTTCTTTAGGATGTCATAATAAAAATGAAACTGCTATACTGCGTCGCTTGTACTGCACTTCTAGCACGGATGATGTTAACTAGCTGGGTATGTCAAGCCACGTAGTAAGGCTGCACTACTATTATCCTTCTCATCTTTCCTGTTACTTGTTCCTTTAGCATCTTATCATGATAATTTTGTTCTTTGTTATCTTATGATTAACGATGATTGCTTTTATTCAGAATCCTGTGACTTACTGAGTGTTGCATCTTATGATTTATGATGATGGCATTTTATGATTATGACTTATGACTTGTTGCTTCTCTGTATACTTGAGAGATTCTGCACCGGAGACAAATTCCTTGTGTGTGTCCAGTCACATTTGGCCAATAATCTCCTCTCCTTCCATCTTTTTTTTTCCTTCCTTCCTTCCTTCCTTTTTTCCTCCTTTCCTCCTTTTTTTCCCCTTCCTCCCTCCCTTTATCCTCCCTTCCTCCCCCTCCTTCCCTCCCTTCCTTTTTCGTCCTTCCCTCCTTCCTTTTTCCTTCCCCCCTCCCTTTTTCCTTTTTTCCTCCCTCCCTTTTTCCTTCTTTCCTTCCTCTCTCCTCTCCCCATCCTACCCTACCGTACCCTATGAAACATCTGCAAGAAAGCCACCCGGCTTCGAGAGCGCCAAGGACCCCAAAGTCCAACGCTTGGCAACGAAGATTCTCTTCCAAAGTCTCACTTCCTTTATCGGCCCAACCCCAAAATGGTTACCTGCACTTGTCTCGGAGGATGGTTTCTGGCAAAAAGTAGGGCGCTTCCACTGTTCTGGTTTCAATCACCTGCGAAAACCGCGGGAGCAAAAAAATAAAAAAAGCCCTTTTCAGACTGGAAACATTTTGGCTGGCAGAGAAGGCCGGGCTGAAATGCCCTGCTGGCATAGGCAGCTGGGTTACCATCCCAAGGAGCATGGGTTATGGGGTTGCCCAGTTCCCCAAAGACCTTGAAATGGGCTCAACGAGTTTTGCCCCACTTTACGACTTGTCCTGCCACCATCGTTTAGGGCATCGGTGCCGTTGTTAAGCCTGTCACGCGGCTTCCCTCCTGGATTCTCCTCGTCAGGAGGTCGCCAACCCTTGACCCCGGGCACAGTGCGACCGTCATAAAGTACGAGTCAGTTGCCAAACGCCTATATTTTGATCAAGGGATCCGTGGGGATGGCTGCGACGGTTGTAACTCTGGAAAATGGCCCCCAATCACTTTTTTTCCTGTGCCGTTATAACTCACTAAATGAACTGCTGTAAGTCAAGGACTTGTCTGTAACTCCTTTCTGGAAGGCCAGGAGGGTGGGATCTGCCTCTCCTCCAAGGGGGAGAATATTCCAGAGGGTGGGGGCAAGGGCAGAGGAGGCTCTCTTCCTTCCGTGTTTCCCCAAAAATAAGACCCAGTCTTATTTTATTTTATTTTTTGGGCCACCAAAAAAGGCACCAGGTCTTATTTTCGGGGGATATCCTCCACTGACTAACCTCGCTTGCGCGCGACGCCGCCGGCCTCCTTCCGGAAGTCCTTCTTCTGTGGCTGGCCCGGCTTTCCTGAAGGCCTCTGCAGCCGATAAGAGAGCTCAGGATCGATCCAGAGCTTTGTTATCAGCTCCAGAGGCCTTCAGGATAAGCCTGGCCAGTCTTGCCGGCTGCAGAAGAAATGGGCCGCTGAGACAGGTGTCGGGGTATGCCAGGCCTGGCTATACCTGGCCAAAGGTAAGTAGTAGGGCAGCTCCACCCCCACCCCCCATCCCTACGCTAGCTTAATTTTTATCCGTCACTCTGGAGTGGGCGGGATCTTAGGGCTTATTTGGGGGGGGAATAGGGCTTATATTGGGCGCATGTGTAAAAAATCAAGCTAGGACTTACTTTTGGGATAGGTCGTATTTTGGGGGGAAACAGGGTATGTCACACACACACACACAAACACGCATACGCACCTTGTTGGGGTTTTTTAACTGACAGGTTCTGTAACCCACGCTCCCTATCTGACTGGGTGGGGCAGGCCAAGGTGATCAGACGAAGGAGTAGGTATTGCTGTGTAGGTAGCCTGGCCTCGTGCCGCCTGGGGCTTTATATACGATACCAGCCACCCCATGAATTAAACCCAGAAGGAAACAGGCGCCCCAATGCGGTTCGTGCATCAAAATGTTTGTCCCAAAGGGTCTTTTTTTTTTTTTTTTCAAGAGGCAACTGGACTTTGGGTTTTTTTCTTCGAAGACGTTTCGCTTCTCATCCCAGAAGCTTCTTCAGCTCTGACTGGATGGAGGGGAACGGAAGGATTGACACTCCTTGCAAACAGAGCTGGTCATTTGGGTCCTTTTTAGAATCCTTAAGGCCACTTGGAGGTTTGTCTGTGTCCTCAGGGTCACCCGAGTGGTGCAAATGAGTGTGGAGTCCTTTCAACAGGTCCAAAAAAAAAGCTTCACACCCATTTGCACCACTCAGGTGACCCTGAGGACACAGACAAACCTCCAAGTGGCCTCAATGACCCTTTAGAAGGATGCAAATGACCAGCTGCATCTGCAAGGAATATGAACCCCTGCATTCCTCACCGTCCTGTCAAGAGTTGAAGAAGCTTCTTGGATGAGAAGCAAAACATCTTACAGATGATCAGAGTTGGAAGGGGCCTTATAGGTCATCTAGTCCAACCCCCCGCCCAAGCAAGAGACCCTACACCATTTCTGACATATGGGAGTCCAATTTCTTCCTGAAAGCCTCCACTGATAAAGCTCCCACAACTTCTGAGGGCAACTTCTGTTCCAGGGGTTGGTTGTTCTCCCTGTCAGAAAACTCCTCCTTATTTCCAGGTTGAATCTCTCCTTGGTCAGTTTCCATCTATTATTGTTCCTTGTCTGGCCTTTCGGGTGCCTTGCAAAATAGTCTTCCAAGAAAAATGAAGTCCAGTTGCCTCTTGGAAAACAAAGTCCACCTTTGAGACAGCCATGGCCTGGATGATGAGAATCTCTGTCAAGCCCCCGTTAGAATCTGACTCAGAAGGAGAGGAGTAACAGCCGACAGGGAGTGGGAGTGGGGCTCTGGAGGTTGTGGAGGAGGCTGGGGAAGGGCAGAGGCCGGCTGGGCAGTCAGAGGAAGACCCAGGCCCATCCCCTCTCCATCCTAGGGCACTGCAGGGAGGAGAGGATAAGGGAGAAACGTGAATGGCATGGTCTATGGGGGAGGAAGAGGCCCTGATCCCCTTCATGGGCTGCAGCTGTGAGGACTGTTTAAAAGGGCAAACTGCGCATGGCCCAGTGCTGCGTGAAATAATTCTAGTCTGTCTGTTCTTATCTGAGTTCTGGCGTCCTTCCCGGTGTGTGTATTTTGATATCTGTGGACGTCTTCAAGCCCTTATCCTGCCTGGTCTCCTTAATGGCTTCAGTGTGGTTTGTGTCGTTTTTTCTATTTATAATATATACGTATTTTGAGTTTGAACGGCATTTCTTCCTTTTCGCAACTGTTTGTGGGGGAGTTTTTTTCTCCAGTCAATGACAATCGGACCTTTGAAGCCAAGTGGAAGGAATTGAAGGGACTTCACCTGTTTTTGTGACTTTGTTGCTTTTGTATCCCACCCTGGGTCCTCACCACCTCCCAAGTGTGACAGGGGCACCCCAAACGGCTCGCCGCCTGCTGCGCTGCCCCCCACCACCACCACGCCCCGAAACGTTCCAAGGAAGAAGAAACCCCAAAGGAATGAAGAGCTCAAGGGACAAACGACGACTTGGGCCGCCCCACCTTGCTGATGTGCTGGCAGAAGGCCGGGATCGCGATCATCTGGCTCAGAAAGTTGAGGTACGCGGCCACCAGCCCCATGATGCTGCACCGGTTGAACATCGGCAGGTTGTCCTCGTTGAGGATGGCGATGTCCTTGCGGGGGAGGGGGGGGAAAAAGGGGGGAAGGGAATCAAAACGCACCTTGGGAGCGTTTCCAGGTAGGCAGGTGGGCACTGTGGCCTGCATCTTATTTTTATTTATTTTTTTATTTAGATATTCTGCTGCACCTCTCACTGCCCCCTAAGGGGGGGGTCTCTCCTCCCCCCACCGGGCCTGGCCTTCCTCCCTTGGACCCCCCCCCCCCCCGGATACCTGCAGAGCGATGGCCAGGCGGATGAGGTCGGTGACCACTTCCTCGTTGGCCAGCTCGATGGTGATCAGGGCCAGCGACGTGTAGAGCAGCTCAAAATTCTTGTGCACGTTGTCGACTTCTTTGCAGCCCAAGTAGACGTGCCGGTACAGCTGTTGGCCGTGCTGAGTGGAAGGAAGGAAGGAAAGGGGCTCAGTGCAGCATGTGGGGGTACATTGATGCTAAAAAGCAGGGTGGGGGGGGTTGGTTCCTCCCCCCTCCTCTACTCCTTTCCTTCCTCCCTCCTTTCCTTCCTTCTCTCCATTCCTCCCTCCTGTTCTTCCTTCCTTCTCCCTCCCTCCTTCTTTCCTTTTCCCTTCCTCCCTCCTGTTCATCCCTCCTTCCCTTCCTTCTTTCCTTCTCCCTCCCTCTCCATTCCTCCTTCCTGTTCTTCCTTCCTTCTCCCTCCCTCCCTCCTTCTTTCCTTTTCCCTCCCTCCCTCCTGTTCATCCCTCCTTTTCCCTCCCTCCCTCC